AATATGAAGCAGATATAGGTAGCAGAGTCAGAGGGGTTGTGCTGCTTCTTAGCATCTGACTCTTGAGCTAAGGCTAGGAATATAGTGTGCACAGTCCAAGCTGAATTTGTATCTCTGTTTTGCCATGAATGCACTGTCATTACTTGACATCTGCACGAATACTGAACTTATGTACTGGCTGTGGACCCTAATGCAGAACCAGAGTTAACAAACATGGACCCATGGCAGGATGCAGGCATTAAAAGCTGCCACAGCATCCTCTGAAAATCAACGTGAATCATTCTGTTGACTTCAGCAGAATTTAAAGTGTTCTGAGATTCAGCAGAAGCAAACAAACAGATAATTTATGGACGGTCTAGATTAGGGAACTTGCTGAGCCCTTTCAGTGGAGGAGATTCATTAGCATTTATACAGTAAGAGTTGAAAAGCCCCAGTACTGCCTCTGTTGGCCCACATCAGTGTCTTTCATCGTGACACTGCAGAAAGGAGGATTTGACAGGCCATCTAAATTAAGGCTGCGTGAGCAAAAATATTCTTTATCTTGGGGAAAGGAAGAAATTATATTAATATATAATGCCCTACATTTAACATTCCCTCAGTACCCTCCCACTTCCCAGCTACTGTGCTTGGAGATGTGATCATATATTAAACACTGTGAATTCAAAATCTTTCTGTTTCTGACAGTTGGTCTAGAGCTATTCTATAGAATGTGTTCAGCTTTTATATTCATCTCAAAGCTGAAATTTATTGGAATGATATATTGGTTGGTATGTCTGAGAATATCTGAAAACACTGCACTTCTACTCTTTTTTGCGTTTCATATATCCATCAGCAGAGCACACACGCAGAAATACACGCTTTCTTTTGTGGTCAATAATGAACTAATCAGAGCATAATTAGAGCAGCTATTGCTTTTCACTGCAAAATATCCTAACATCTCAAACGTGTCTCAGACTCTCTCGTAAAAAATGAACAGATACTTTGGCCTGTGCTTACTAGTAGTTTTCCCTAAGCTTTAATTAGAGCTTCCAGTCCTGGGGTCTGATCATTCTCACTAGCTCAGAATTTCAGAAATGAGAAAGCTGAGCAGTGGACAAAGGAAATTATTTTCCTGGTCAGCTACTAAATCAGTGGCCATAGACATAGACAGAGCTCTGAACCCTACACCCAATTTCTTGGCTTTTCAGTTACAGTTAATCAAATATTAAGAAACTATAAAGCTGCGAAGGAATAAATTTTATCATGAATATCTTAATTGTATTTTCCAAATTCTGTTTACTTTTAAAATACTGGTACGAGTCAGCATGGACCAAAATTGATTTTGTAAAGCAGAGTAATTATAGATTAAAAAGTCCATTTTATGAAGACAGATGAGGGGAGAATAAACGATGAAAATAAAGGTCTTTTTCATAAAGCTGTCAAAGTTTCTGAGGATATCTGCGTGAGGTGGATTGGATTGAAGAATATGTTACTGAGGTCTGCTCAGGGAAGTATTTTTAATAAAATCAACAGCAACAGCAAGAACACATTCAGAGGACATGTCTCTTCAGATTAAAGTCCCGGTATAGTTCATGAAATGAAACAAGTTAGTGCACATTCAGGGGTGGACTAATCCAGGGCATTTTTTCAAAAGGCGACTGTTTTCATGGCAGAAGTGATACAGAAGAAAAACATGCTGATATGGTCAAATTTAAAATTGAGGGATTTTTCTTGTTGTTTGTTTAAAGTATAAATCCAAGTCAAAAGAGATAAGGTAAAGAAAGATTTTATTTATTTTTAGCTGCATGGAGCCCGAAAGAGCTTTTTAGGGCTCTCTGCACATGGCTTAAGAGAAGAAATTAATCTTATGTAGCAATGAAGATTTAGAGTGTTGGAAATTCCATGTAGAGTCCAGATTTTATTTCCTGTTGAGAGAGAAACATAGGTAGCTATAACGAAATAAACACTGAAGTTGTGCTGTGGATGCAGTTTGTTTCCATTCAAATAAAAGCTGTACCAGTGATGGCATAAAGGTGTAATTTGGGGTGAATATGGAAAGATCCAGTTGAGCAATCCAGCACTGTGAACAATCTCCTATCAAAATGACTTCATGTGCAAGAGTGTTCCAGCCCTGTAAATGCTTAGGACAGATGGAAGAATTTGCTTAAATAACTACCTGAATACATGGTGTCTGGCCACTTGGAATCATTCTTCATGGAGAAAAAGTGTTTTTTAAAAGCTCAGCTAACAGTGGCTTGGCTAAAAAATATAAGTTTCTTCAGTAATACTTCCATTTTATATATTAATCTTTGGAATTGGGTTTAACAAAAGGTTAAGATAGTTCTCTTTTATTAAACAGTGTACTAATGCACTTTTCTAAAGACTTATGCTGAACTAAAACTGTTAACATGAAGTTTGTGTGATTAATGCCATTGAATTGTAAGAAATTCTGGTTTAATACTTATATTTGATTAAGGCCTTGAGCAAACTATATGTCTTAACTAAACATAAGCATTTCCCTGTCTTTTTACATATCATTTGAACCAAGGAAAATGAAAATATAATTGCAAATCTCTCTTTTTAATAAAAATATAAATTAATTCTACAATTAGTAGACAATATGAACGTATTACCTACTTAATAGCAGTATTTATCACTCATTCATCTTTTTTTATATTCTTAAATAGTGTCACAGTATTTCTATGAGTTGGATTTTACTCTAACTGGTTCATGGAGGCATGCACACAACTTGGCATGGACAGGAAAATGACAGGCAAGGGAGAAGTTTTTCCCTTTGGCCTAAATGGCACTATTTCTCTCAAATCAAAAATTATTTTCTTCACTACCTTTTTAGCTTCAAAATACCATTTCACACCAACTATATATCCTCTAATCACATGCAGAATCTGTTGAGATATTGGTGCTGAATCAGCATATTGAACCCTTTCATTGGAAAAAAAAATAGTACTCTTATTTCTGAATACATCAAAAGTCTCCATGAAGTTGTGAGATCTGCCTTTAATACAATTTTTAGATTTATACCCAAGACTTCACTATCAGGAATGCAATTGCACTTACATGTTAGTATGTAGATCCCTCAGAAACACCTGTGGAACATAAATTACAGATTCGCTTAATTAAAATGATTGTCACACTGCTGCAGACATTGAGCAAAGGTTAACACACAATAAAATTGCCAGCTGGAACAATGATTTATGGAACTACAAACACACACAGCTTTGCAAAGATCTTTTTTTAAATGTAGAGCTATGGGTTCTTTTTGACTTGTATTCACTTTTTACATATTTACCAGATCCCGGATTGCCCATGATATTTTCTGCATTCAAGTGTGGGACAAATTTAAACCTATTTCCTTATGTATCTCAGCACTTCTGTTGCTATTCTGTATATGAACAGCTGCGTGCTTCATGGAATGTTTAGTCTCTTTCCTCCTAAGAGCTATGAAAGTTCTGTTAAAGCCATATAAACCTATAGGTTGCCATGATGAGGCTTCACAGAAATTAGCATTATTGTAATCCTTTCAGACTGCTGAGAATAAGAAATAATGCAAAGAACTCAGCTTTCTGCATCATATGGGATTCTTTCTGTCCCGTTTTTAATTCATTTTCTCATATTTGTTGAAGATGCTTTTAAACTAGCATGAGTTACACTCAGCTCAGCTTCTACTGGGAAAGTAGCTGGAGCAAAGGGCAAGCCTTTGGAGATTTATATTGTGCTGAAGCCTCCTTTGTAGATCCCTAATTCCCTTTACTCTTATGCAGTAGTGAAATCTAGTTGCAGATTATAATATTTAAATATGAATGTCCTTTTCCTTTCCATCTTCTTCCAGAGGGATGGATCACATGCTGGGAGCCTCTACAAAAAAAAAAGGTAGTGCAAGGATGTTTTATGTCAGTTGGTGCCTCATTCTTTTCTCACTGCAAACAGTGCACATTTTCCTCTTGTGATAGCTTCTCTTCAAGCTTGTTGCAAGTTGTTTCTCTGAGTCTTACAAAAAGACAGTTCAGAAGTTTAAATAGTCAGAAACATTTATGACATTTTGAAACATCAGTGCTCTAATTACACGAAGGAACATGAAACGAATTTGACAAATTAATTGTGTACAGGAATGCACCTCAACTGACATCCTGAGATGGACTTCCATTGGAATGGTAGAAACTGATACGCTTTGTGCTTCACAGCATTTGAAGACATTATACATAAATATATGTATGTGCTCATATATATATATATATATATATATATACATATATTTAATTGCCTTTGTGAATAAGAATAATTTTTTAGTAAACATTTATATTTCTAGATATGATATCTATGGACAGGCAGGGCATGTATATATGTGTGTAACTCCTCACAATCTCCATTCCTTTTCTTTAAAATCAATAAGACACATCTTTTTAAAAATAATATCTCTATTCATATTCAGTGTAATTCTGGAGCTCTTTCATCAGACTGAATGGATGTATGTGTGTGTGCCTGCACACATACATATATATACATATATCAAAATTACTTTTTTAGATATTAGGGAAATAAACACTAACTGGGACCACGTGTTAATCTCCTCTTTTGGTATGCATTGACTATTTCTTCCTTTATTATCCTCAGCTTAAAGAATAAATAAGACTCGTTCTATATCTTGCAGTAAATAAGCACAAAAGGAGTCAGAAAATAATAACAGAGATAAATAGCTTTGCAATAAAGTTTCAACTCCAGTAATTTCCCATTTATATTTTCTCACTGAATCACACAGTCTCAAGCAATGCATTTTTTTACATCTGGGCTGCATCATACAGAGTAATTTTATATCTAATACTTCCTAGTGTGCCCAAAATATAACATCACATGCTCAGTGCATGACAAGGTAGTCAGTGAATTATACAGAGCCTTCAAATGATAGCACTGTGAATATAATTTCATAGGCTTTCTAAGGCAGTCAATCTTACCATATTATGTGGAATGAATCGTTACTCAGTGGTTTTTTTTTTATTCTTCAGGAAAGATTCAGAGGCTGTTACTTAATGCTACTTACTGTAGAAGACTGCCTGCTGAATATGTTTTTCCTGCGTGAAACCACAGGTATGTTCTGTGTGTTTTAAAGCCTTAGATCTTGGTTAGCATAACATTTTGCCAAAGTGGCTTAACTCAGGCTGTAGGAACCATTAACATGTGAAGAGAAGTGAAAATTTTAGACAAAAGGAGGTGAAACCAGTAAAGAGCACAAGAATAAGTTTTGTACATAAAAATTTTGTCACTATTTTATTTAAGTGTAAGTTATCTTTCCTCCATCTCACACATCCTCCCACCCACATTTAAAATATGATTTGAAATGACAACTGAACTATGTCTTCTGGGAGCAAACGAATGGAGCTGAACATCCTTTTTTTTTTTTTCCATATGAGTATCTGGGGTGTATCTCAATGCTGTTCTTAAAGCAACCCAAAAGAGAAATACTATACAGGCGGAGGAGACACAGTTCATCTTAGGTTTCTCCCAGCTCTTACTTGGAATGTGGTCAAATCTGCTGAATAACCAGTACAGAGTACCTGCATATTTTTGACACAGCCATGAAGACATCTGGGATACAGCAGCCCCATACATTCTTGGCCGTAATTTGTAAATATCCTAAGCAATATTTTATCTTTGTTAGCTACTGCCTGTGTTTAGCTGAAAGATCGACACAGGGAACAAAGCCCTGGTTTCAGATAAAGCACTGATACAAAAGAACAGAGGAGTGAGAGCAGAGCTCAAAGCTTACACTTCCATCACAACTTAGGAATTTTGCCCTTCACAGAAGAATATACTATCTCAAAACCTCTGAAGAAAGTATGTTTAAAGACTTGTCTGTTTCTATCAAAAACTATCACTTCCCTTCTCAGGAGTTTCTTGTTCTTCTGAAGAACTACGTGCAAAATATTTCTCTTTCATCACTCAGGCACATTAGAAAACTTGTTCTTAAAGTCAGAGAGTCAATTTTCTTCTCTGAGGGCCATTAAGCTTAGTGTAACAGCAACATTTGGTGAACCCAGACTTTTCACATCTCTTATTAACACCTTGGGCTGAAAAACAAATCACTTCATAATTTGTAGTCTGTGAGAGGTGTTGGGCTGATAGCTGAGAGCATTTGCAACTGAAGTCTAATACCCTTTGCCAATAATACTTCAACATGGACTTGAAGGGCTCTTCATTTGTGCTAATAGCTTTTGATACTTCCTCAGATCTTGGCTATTTCATGGGGAGACCAGGGAGGACCTGCAGCTGTGGCACCTCTTTTCTCACACTGCCACCAATTTTGTGTGTCCTGGCTAATTTGGGCTTGGAAATTATAGAGGCAGGGCTGAAGTTGGATCATGAAAAGTTGATACCAAACATGATTATGAGTTACAGGTTCATGTATTATCCCAGCTATTTCCTTACAGCAGCAAGACCTCATTTGCATATTTTATATGTTCAAAAATGTCCTTCAACTTTTTAGATAATGTGGGAAAGAAAATCTCTGGGGAAGGATCTCTTAACTTGGAAAAGCATGTGAACAGCTTCCAGCCTCTTCCTTTTCCTGTGGGTGGGGTATAGAGAGATCCTACAGAGATAGGGCTGCTTAATTGCATTTTTTGGTAGATATTCTAAATGGTTATACCTAGGCTCCGAAAAACAGATTCAGTTCCTGTGGATAACTGAATACGTTGCTTTCTGTTCTCTTAATTATTAGTCTTGTTTAGAGATCTAGTTGTATTGCATCCATGAGATGCACATAGTAAGACAAATATCAATCCAACTTTGGCTTTTACTTGCTGTCATTTTATTCTTTCTTTAGAGATGAATGCAGATCTCTGCCAGATTTTAAATACACAATTAATTACTGAGCGCTGCCCATAGCCAGTGAATTCCACAAATTCTATTCATTGTAAAGGATGCAGGGAAAGCAGGAAAGTATTTTTCTTTTTGCAGTTTACTGTCACTTCTGGAGTCAACTTGTGGCAGCAGATGTTAATTCTTTGTTCAGAAGAAGGCTTTAGCACTGTTAAACAGCAAAGTTAGCAACAGTTGTCATAGTTCAGTGCAATCAAAGCTTTTCCAGAGACTTTCGTATTCCTGCTCTATTATATGGTGGGAAATTTGGTTCTGTAAATTGAAAAACTATTGAATCAGCACAAAAGACACAAAGCTATCTCTGACACTGGCAGCTAAGTGAAATGTGTAAGGAATCCAACAAACAGAAATAAAATTCTCTCTCTCTCTCTATATATATACATACATATACATAAAGTCATTTGTAGATCTCACTTTAGACAAAATCAGGACATACTTCAGTTGATTGTTTGCTGCAATACTTATATGCAGTAGTGTCTTTCAGAAATGTTTCTCCAATGTTGTTTTTTTTTTTTTAATTCCATTTAGAGTTCCTTCTCACCTACTTCCAAATGTTAACTTTCCAACTCACTGCTTAACACTGTTCAATCACCAAGTATTTCCTATTCACTGCCAGAAGAGTGAACATTTCAACATGAAGACATTACTTTCATCTCTGATATTCTTTCTTGTCACTTTCCAAAATTGGAATATAGCCCAGTGGTTTCAAATCTTCCAATATATACGTTGCTTCATTGAACTGGCCACTGTTGACATGTAATTTCAGACATATGCTGCTGTTTCCCAGCCTCCCAAGAAATAATCTGTTTCTCAGGAGTGGGCCACATCTCCATTAGCCTCTCCATTCAGAAGAGTAGTGTAATTTTTAGATGAATTTCTCCATTGTCCCTACTTTCCACGTGCTGGCTCAGTTGCAGAATGGTTTTGATAAGCCCAAACTAGCTTCTTTCCTGAGAAAAATAAATTGTAAGCTCTGCTGCTGAAGCATACTGCATGCCACTCAACCATTAACAGGGACGCTAACTCCAAACCAGCTCTTGTTCCTTCAGACAGCTTCAGTCTACGTGCATGACAGAAGGTTTCAGTTTAAGGGATCATACTAAATCCAGTCTAGAGTAAAACTCCAAACTACAGATTGCTTCAGCAAATGAACCTCAGCACTGACAGCTTCATTCTGCTGGTGCTTTCCTTTTGCATCCAATTACTTGCTGTGTAGGCAAAGGTCTTGTAAGCAAATATATTTTAGTGGTAGTAGATTGGAAAGAATGGGGAATTAGTGCATGAAACTCAGATAAACGACTTAGTCTTCACAGCTTAGCAAATGAAAAAATGTGATCCTGCCTTGTGTGCAATGCACTCCAATGTTTCCAGAAGGGTGAATGGGAAACAAGTGGCTATGTCTTTTTCAGTAGAGGGGCAAATCTTAGTCACCACAGTCCATTTTCATTTACATAATTTCACATAACAAGATGTGTGATGGTTTAAAATTGAACTGTACCATTCTTTCTGTATTTTCAATTATCTGATTTATGATGTTTACTGATAAATGTAAATTTTCTTGGGAAAAAATGACATAAAGCTCAGTAGACCTATGTTTAAGACAGCTTATTAAATAGCACATATTTGTGACTGATATTCTGCTTCTCAAATAAGCGTATTATTTTCCAGTACTTAAATATACCACGTTTTGCTTTTAAAGTGCACTGTGTGCAAGAGGCTTCTGTTTGTGAAGCGAAGAATTGATAGACCAGATTATTGTGTATCTAGAATTAATTTCAGTGACTAGAAATCTGAGCCTACATTTTCCCCAAAATCAGAAATATATTTTCGTTCTATATACATACCCCTGCTAAACCCTCTGATTCACAATATGCTTTCATTTGAATTGTTTTTCTGCCTATTCTTCTTAAATAGTTTTGCAGATGCGCACATACTGAATTAATATTTGACTGTTGGAATACAATGAGAAAATATGTAAATGATTATGTAGTTTGAATTAGATATACTCAAAACTTTTAATCTTATTCTGTGAATTTATATTGGTTTTATAGACTATATTTTTCATTTTTAATCTTTTATGAGGGTGCCTATGTTTCCAGGTTTTTTATGAGTGGTTCAGATGTTTGAATTTCCTTGATCTTTCTTTAAACATTTTTTATTGATCTTGCATGTATTTAAATAACTTACAGTAATCACAGGAACAAATGCAGATAATTACGATGTAAGAAGTGTTGTATAGCACACAATACATTCCAATAACCTATTTCATATCTTTACTGTGGGAACAGCATTTTCTTCATGTAGATGAACATATGCAACATTTTTTTTTTAGTCAAAGCATCATGAATGATTCTATAGCATATTTAATCATTTTAATGCACTTTTTCCTTGATGTTGCACCTCAGACTTACACTAAAAATCATCAAGCTTTAAGAATCACTAAACTGAGTATTTCTTTATGTCACTAATTCTGAAATAGACTTTTGGGCTTAATAAACTAAATAATTTATATTCATTATTTACAGTCAGTATTTAAGTATTATTTATTTATAATGTGGTGTCATCATTCCAAGTTTTATTTCCTTGCTGTGCTAAGGTCAAGGTACAGTGAGAAACTCATTAGGCTTTCAGCATCATACAGGTCACAAGAAATTGAGGGAAACTGCCCTTGCTTTTGCAGTAATAGCTGAGCCCAAAGCAAATTTAAGCACTCCTGAATCTCAAGATAAAGCATTCTTTCATATTTCACACCACCTCTACATAAATGATTCGTTTGAAACTCACATGTATCAGCATCATCAGTCCCAGCTGAAAGGGACAGCATGGAAGTTGCAACATTGCTATCCTTCCTGGCTAGCAGTAATCAAAAGTACTATAAGTACCACAGGGAAGCATGGTTTCACAGAGCATTCCCTGCCTGGGTTTGTGAACAAGAACAGCTCAGAAAGCCGTGAGAATTGCTGAACTGCAGCTGAACATTTTGCTAGTGGTGAACAAGGCACTCACTTCAAAGCCTCTTGTGCCTGCAACATACGGAATGGTAGCAAGACAGCAATTGCAATACTGAGTCTAAAAGGCATCTCTAATACTGCATTTTAAAGTTGATATGCTACCCTTAATTTTGATCAGTGATCAGTAATAACAATCAAAAGATAACTGAAGATTCCTGAAGTACACAGGAAGGTTATTTCAGAGGACAGCAAGACATG